AGACAACCCCGTAACAATATGCGTTTTGTACTGCTGTTACACAGCACAAAACGCATAAAAAGTGAAGGATTTAAAAAAGTCAAAATCCCCTCCGTATTCTTTTTTTTTTTCGAAACGCAGAGGCACAAGAAAGTATTCCGAGAGCAGTAAGTCACTTCCTCATGAAAGATTGTCGATGGTTCCCTCCTTCAAAGGCTCCTTAGAAGCAACAAAACCCTTATATGCTCTAGTACAAATTTACTGCCGAAACTAAGGAACAAATTAAAAAGCAGCTAATTTTTTTAGTAGCAGAAACAAACCATAAAATTTGAACCTAAGAATGGCCTGACTTAAAAAATACGCCAAAATACTAGCAAAAAATTCAAAGGAAAAAGTACAGCTGCCTTTTTTATTGAAAAAAATTTTATATTTCTTCAAAAAAAAATTTTTTTTTATAAGAAAATCACCAATAAGCAGTAGAATCCAGTGCATATCCTCACGCCATGTTTCAAGTTCAGCATAACCATACGATATTATATGATCCAAAGCTAGCTGTATTTGAACGTGCAGCTCTCTGAAAATATTACAGTAAAAAAAAATAAAAAAAAAAATTAATACTGATCAGATCCATTATGAAAATCCATTCGAATATGAGACCCAGATATTGCTCGTATCAAAATTTTTACGAATCAATCTCCTTTCCTCAAAATTATTATAATAATCTCACAAATTTTCTAATTTTCATTTCTCATCCTTCTTTTCCCTTTTTTTTCTCTTTTTTCCATTCTTTCTTACTATAACTTTCCATTATTGTTTGCCGCGAAAAATGAGAATAATCGAAGCAGTAGATCAACCAAATCCGCATTTTATCCAGTATTCGATGGAATGGCTCTCCATGGTCCTCAGTTCTAGGAGGCCACTAGAAGGAGGAGACCAATTCTAGGAGGCCGAATGAAAAATGGAGGGTCCAAGTGAGGTGGCCGAACTGGATTAAATTGATAAAAATTTTTTTTCCTTACTTTGAACACATAAAAAATACTTTGAAGAGCTGCGCTAGAATCTGTTTTCTACAGCTAATCGAGGTTATTACAATCTTTTTTTCTCTCCCTGAACTGCAGTTTTGAGAAGTAAGAAAACAAGAAA